GGAAAAACTTATGTTCAGCAGTGGACAGTCAACGGCTGAAATGATGAGTCTAAGATTTGTGTAGTCTCTCTGTAGTATTCAAATCTTTTCAGTCATTTAAGCATAATTAACAAATATTGTATACAGCATTAGCGTGACATACTTACTAATTGCCTACTAATTAACTAGTAGTACCTAAACATTAGTAAACCTTGTATTTGTGTTAACGATTTAGATATTTTAATCGACTCACAAAAGGAGGAAGTACTATATATATTATGTATCTACATATGTTTTTTTTTCTTTGTATTGAATGTTGTCACTCCACTAGATGGAGTGACGACCTCAAATGCATTGCAGGGAGTCAGTGGATGCAGGTGGCTCAGGACCGTTCCTTATGGCAGTCTTAGGGGTTAGGCCCATGTCCAGCAGTGGACGGAAAATGGCTGAAATTATGATGTTTTTAAATTGTTTTCTATATAACAAGATGTAAATTCATAATAAAAATAATACTATTAAAAATATACTTGAATAACTATATTTTTGTTAATAAAATTTCAAATTATTCACAGTGTCAATAGTCGCTCATACTTAATATCGAATTCCTGGCTGGTAACATAAACAGTAACTTGTTTGTATGTATGTATGTGTTAATCACGTCATCGTGAATACCCGACCACCATAGGAACGCGTCTAGTAACGGAACATTCTCATTTTCCCCATGTCACAATTATAGGGAAAAATTTTGAATGCACCGACACAAAATACCATAATATTACACTAGTAATAATATTAATATTATGCACAAAACACCATACAGATGCTTCGCTAAATAAAGGTACATATATATGTACAAAAACTAGCTGACCCTGTAAACGTTGTTTTACCACTTATTGAGAAATATAAAAATCGCGATTAAAAGACAGGGGTTGATCGTAAAACGATGAAAATTTAAAGTTGTGTGTATTTTTCAATGCTAAATCATAATAAAATAAATATGGAAAAATTTGTTAAAAAAATAAAAAAAAATTTCTTCGGGAGGGTCACCCTTATCATTGAGGGGTATGAAAACTAGATGCTGGCCGATTCTCAGACCTACCCAATATGCACGCAAAATTTTATAAAAATCGGTCAAGCCGGTTCGGAGGAGTTTGGTAACAAACACCGCGACACGAGAATTTTATATATTAGATATACATTTATTACTAAGAATATGGGAGAAAATATATTGTAAAATTAAGAAATTAAAAGGAATAATTTTTTTTTTAAATAATTGTAAATGACAGCCATTTACTTAATACGTATCAGTATTAATTTGTAAGCATGTGTATGTTTATGTATATATTTGTTTATACGTATGTATATATATATTTATACAACTTAGAATGGCAAACAAGCTGACGGCCCACCTGATGGAAAGTGGTAACCGTCGCCTATAGACACGAGCAGTACCATGGACATAACAGAGTATACTGTTTCGCACATGATACCCCCCATCCGTTGCCATTCCTGAGGACTCAGGTGTTATTCCTCCATACCCAGTAAATTCACGCCATACCCCACCCTTCAAATCGAAACACAGCCATGCAAACACAACTGCTTCACGGTAGAAACACGAATGGAACAGAGGTATCCAAGCAATCGACTTTTGTACAAAGTCTCACTTCTCATTAAATTTAACTGTATTTATTGTTTTATAAATATTGCAATAATATGTAGAATAAATAAATAAATAAACAATACACACATTTGTATATTTATTTTATATCAGACATTATAATTGCCAAGTTTAATAGAACTGAGGGCCTACCATAAAATGTTTTCCGAAATTTCGGATCCGAACGAAACACAAATTTGATGTTAAAATTACATGATACGTACCGTTTAAAAATATTAAAAATGCTAAAGTATCGTTCATTTGGACTTTTATGGTAGGATTTATGACAAATGAAATCTTAAGCTCCATTTATAGGGCCGATTTTGATACGAACAAAAACATGAAATTGAGCCCGAAAATTCGGAATTTCATTTCATGGTAGACCCCCTGATCTTAGAAATTTTTAATCTAATTACTGGCCACACTGAAAAAACTTGCAACACTATTTTTTACACTGGATGCTCCATCTATGTATATAATATAAGGCTCCATGTAGTATTGTTAATTATATTGTCAAATATATCATACAATGAAACAATGGTTTCACTATAATGTACATATATGTGATAAACAAATGTTTTGAGGAACGAAACAACGGGGAAATAACATGTAGCAAAAGGAAAATTTGTACTATTGTCTAACTAGCTGTTTTGGGGAGGGGGGATTGTTAATAATGCGAACTACCAGTCCCGTTGTTAGCAATATCCAACCAGGTCGACCTCCACGTGGTCCTTCCTGGAAACCATCGTACGTGACTTCATCACGATGGGCTAACTGACCTGCTTTTTCATTCTCACGTATCATCTCTCACTGGTGCCCCGTTAGCGCAGGCGGGGTTACCATTCCATTATCATCCATTAAAAAAAAAACTAGCTGTTTTCTGCGGTTTTTCCCGTACAAATCGGCATATGAAGTATCATATGTATTAGGTACTTTCTTCCACGCACAACCACTTAGGTTGTGGAATGAGCTCCCTGCCGAGGTTTTGCCAAGAGACTACAGCATGGGGTTCTTCAAAATTGGGGACTTCAACATGGGGTTACCCCCCGTAAAGAGGTTTCATCAGAACCGGCAACGCACGCGTAATACCTCTGGTATTTCAGGTGTTCATAGGCTACGGTAACCACTTACCATCAGGTGGGTCGTATGCTTGTTTGCCACCTCAGTGGTGTAAAAAAAACAACTTCCAGCAGCAGTATTTCCGAACCATAACGACATCATAACCTTCAAGAAAGAGCATATTCCTTTTTAAAAGACAGGAATTAGGTTAGAATTAGGATCGACATGCAATAGTTTGTATTAGCAAATTATACTAATACTAGCTGACTCGGCAAACGTTGTTTTACCATATACATTATTTCGAGAACTATACATGAAAATTTATCGTACTACAATTATTATATTAGATTGCCATCTTGCAACTCTATTGCGGAATATAACAATCGCAATTAAAAAACAGGGATTGATCGTAAAACGGTGAAAATTTGAGGTTGTATGTATTTTTCAATGTTAAATCATAATAAAATAAAAATGGAAAAATTTTTCTAAAAATAAAAAAAAAATTTTGGGGAGGGTCACCCTTATCATTGAGGGGTATGAAAAATAGATGTTGGCCGATTCTCAGACCTACCCAATATGCACACAATATTTCATAAAAATCCATCAAGCCGTTTCGGAGAAGTTTGGTAACAAACAGTGCGACACGAAAATTTTATATATTAGATGTATTTATTATAGCAATATAAAACAATTTAGTTGCTACTGTCACTTTTTTTTTAATTACATCATTAATGCACGGGGCATTCCTTATGACGTGTCCCTAACAGGCCATACACTATACCGGCGTAGAGTTTGTATGAACCGGACCGGTGAGTACACTACAATCGAATCACCTCGCCGACGGTCGCGGTGAATTACCATTTTAACCGACTTCACAAAATATAATATGTGTGTGTATTAACAAGGGCACTCACTGGACACTGCAAACTAGACAAGTACATGACCCAACTAGGCTTATGCCGGGGAGAAAGGGATTGTTAGTAATGGAGACTGAGAATCCCATTGCTAGCAATATACCCAACCAGGTCGACCTCCTCGCGGTTCCCCCTGGAAACTATCATGGTTAATTCCTGATGAATTCATCATGATGGGCTAACTGGCCTGTTTTCATTCTCATCTATCACCCTTCACTGGTGCTCCGCCAGCGTATCCCGTTAGCTTATATTTATTTATTTATGTATTTATTCACAATAGTGTTTGTTGTATTTACATTATTTTCACCGGTACCTTTCCTGCACTGGATTACCCAAATTAATTTATTTTCTCTCTAACTACACTGGGTTGGCTGGAATAGATCTCTTTCAGAGATAACTCCTCGCTTACTAATAAGTTGTTAAACTAATCGTCGCATATATTGTTTAAGTGCAATAAAGAATATATATGTTTTTTGGTACCCCAACAGCATGAACCTTGTAATGAAAATTAGACTCTATTTTCCGCGCTTAGCATTTGGGCATTTGGGCGCGCATTTGGGCTGTTGTACGTATGAGTCGTGGCTAGTACAGCCGACCCAGCTCCGCCCGGAAGTACAGAAGCTTCCTGGGTTCTTCACAGGCCTCACGGAGCGACCTCACCGTTTCTAAACGTTGATGGGCCACAACTTCACATTCCAGGATTTCATTTAGTCGTTTCTTCGGCATCTAAACAGCGTCGACATAGAGAGCTAAAGCATGTACCTTAATAAATATGGTTACTATTTTATTTTAATCTACATATAAATAATTTAAGATTGTATTTCACAAAAAATAAGCCATTAAGGCAAAACCTTGGTTATTTTGGTTTAAAAACTAAACTATTAAACATATTTTAATACAATTTCCCCGAGACCAATCCGTAAATTCATCCTTTCAGATAAAAAAAAAACAGAATTTTCCAAATTGATTTACAACATAGTTATGAGATAAGAAAAATAAAAAAAATACAACCAAATCGTATTTTCCTTTTGAAGTCGTCTGAAAATAAACATAAATTATTCATAGGTAATTAATTTCATTAAATCTAAAAGGTATTTAATTTAATTAAATAATTAAATCTCCCAATTGTAACTTAATACTGAACGACTCCCGGGACCGGCCAATGCACGGCCTTAATCTGCTGCACTTAAGAAAAAAAAACCCAAAAGCATCGACGACTGACGTAACGTATCAAAACATTAGCCTGTACGACACATTGGTGATTGAAAATGCAACTTACTGCTCAGTGATATGGTTGACACTAGCATGTGTTACCGACACTGTGACGTAGACAATGTGGTCGTGTGACGCATGTATTGATTTCCTAGATTTCACACAAGCGCGGTGATTCCATTCACGGATAACTTCATCTGTTGCTTGGCACGGACCTCAGTCAGCCAAAAGCTATGAACGTGATCGCCCGTTTGTAAGCTTTATTATTATTATTTTTCATGTGTTAATATAATTATCGTTTAAATTGTTCAAGTACCGGCAGAATAATAACTGAGCCTGTAAGTAAAAGAAAAAAATTTTAAGTTCTAAATTTGAATTTTTTTTAATTCATAATTTTCATATTTAATCTAACACTAACACTAGTTTGTAGTTAATATACTTAATTATATAAAAAAAATATATGTTGCTGGTCAAAAAAAATTACCCTTGGAAAGTGAGTGAATAATTTCCTATTTTATAACCCAATGTCGTATCTATTATCTATATATCTATGTGTATAAATCAGTGTCAGAAATGTGTCCTGTCTAGATGGTGAATGTTTTGACCCAAGAAAGGTACAGTCGCCTTCAATAACTCGACACACGGTCATTTGTTTGTAAACAAAGGTACGCACTGTTTATTTGTAAGACACCGGATACAAACAATTTTTAATTGCCTTTTCATTCAATTATCTGTATGTATACCTACCTACTAGCCTTTACCCGTGACTTCGTCCGCGTGACCATCCCGGTCACTATGCTCTTTAAATAATCGTCATATTGAATATTCTTTCGAATATCGGTGGCCAAGCATTTTACATCTTCTATTTATTCTGGACATGAATTGTAAAAAATATACCAAATGAATGCCTATTTATGAGACTGACAAAAAACATCTAAATTTTGCTTAAAAACATACCATAAACAAATTAAAACATTTAGAGTGTTTTTCCCAAAAAAAAAACGATGTCAATCGTAGCATTATTAATTATTTTGATTTACAAACTAACCTACTGAAACGATATTGATAGAATTTCAACATGACCAATGTACTAGTCTTTACCCGTGACTTCGTCCGCGTGACCGGGATATTAGTAAATTTGGAAATAATTAAAGATTGTATCCCACAAAATATCGACTTCAATTGTGATAAAACCAGTTAATTTAATCCAAAAATTTAAACTACTGTACCGATTTTGATAAAACCTCTATTGGATCAATCTGCAAGTATATCCTTTCAGATAAAAAAAATCCATAACGATTTATAACTGACGTAGTTATAAGAAAACCGACATCCAAAAAATACCAATGAATTTAGAATCTAGTTCTTACACTGAAATCGGTTGAAAATTAACACGGTACCAACATCGGGATAAAATATATATCGTAAACATATATATAACAAATGCGGGCGAATTGAGAATTCCCTCCCTTCGGAAGTCCCTCCAAAATAATTGCTGAATTGAATAAATTCAGTCGGGTGCAGACGATCTTCCCAGCGGATACTCAAAATTAATCAAATGACCTTCTCACTTCATACTGGAGCTTCTTTGATAAAAGAAGTTCTTTTTAACTCCCTTTATTTTGAGTGCTTCCAAAACTCAAGTTATAGTCTAGAGAATGTTGTATTTTATTTATAATGGTTAGACTCTTGAGTGGCGACCCCGTACGGGCAAACGCAGTGTAGGACGAATCGCCCAAACCCTCATTCACTATTGACAACCTCAAATGCATTGCAGGGAGTCATTGGATGCAGGTGGCTCAGGACCGTTCTTTATGGCAGTTTATGGGAGAGGCTTATGTCCAGCAGTGGACGGATAATGGCTGCGATGATGATGTTGATAAATATGTAATGGCTGCTGTTTTTTTATATTATTTTTTAAAAGAAATTTTATCAAAATCGATTTAGCCATGATTAAAGAATGTATTTTTATATTGAATAAAATCTTAAATTATACATCAGCCGTTAACTGCCCACTGCTGGACATACGCCTCCCCCATCAGGGAAGTCTTTGCCAGTAGTTGCCACGAGTAATCAGGGGCGTTGTCTTATATCATTGCTGTCCTTCAAATATCTTATTAAACCCGTCTCGTGCAGTTAACGTGGTTTGATGACCAAGCAAGTTTGTTAAACAAAAAATAACCTTACAGTTCGTGATGACTTTACCTTATCCTCGTTTATATACCTAATATCGTATATACATAATAAAAGACAGTAATTATTATTGTAACATAATGCCATAAATTTAATTTTCCTTATGGATAAAGACAGATAAAGATAAATTTATTTGCAAACATGTGTACATAGTAAGTGCATAGACATACTTGTTGTTCATTGTAGGATTTGTATAGTCCTAACATGTTTTGCTAACATTAGCGTGCAAAATATTATTTCAAGGACAATTTCAATTGCCTTACAAAGTAAATCTATGCTTTCTATCTATCTATGCCTTACAAAACATATTAATATTTTGTGAAGATTAGATATAAACTAAATACTTAATGTTATTGTTAGGAGAGAACAATATTAACAGAGTCAAATAAAATCATATAAAATTCAAAACAAATAAGAAGTCAAATAAAATTATAATGTCAATAGGAAATGTCAAAAGAGAAACATACAAATTTGTCACTTAAAAATTCATCAATATTATATAATAATTTAAATATATAAAGTCTTCAAATGTTTATCCATTGCCTACTTCTCATTGTTGTATGGAAGTAGAAACAATCACGTTGACTGACTGACTGGCACGAACTCTTTTGAAAAATTCATTTTTTTTTTATCTAAAAGCTTTACATAAAAGGTTAGGTTATATTTTTTTTTATGGGTGAAAATGGTACGGCAACCCCGCCTGCGCTAACGGTATACGCTGGCGGAGCACCAGTGAAGGGTGATAGATGAGAATGAAAACAGGCCAGTTAGCCCATCGTGACGAATTCATCAGGAATTAACCATGATAGTTTCCAGGGGGAACCGCGAGCAGGTCGACCTCGTTGGGTATATTGCTAGCAATGGGATTCTCAGTCTCCATTACTAACAATCCCTTTCCCCCCGATTAGGTTATGTTAGGTTTACATAGAAATTTTATCATATTCAGTCCAGTATTTTAGTTTAATACTCGTAACTATTTCTTTGACATTTTAATTTAATTGATTATTAAATAAAAATAACTTGTTTTGTCATAATTGAAATCGGTATTTGTGATACATAATCTTAACTATTATTTAATAGTTTTTTTGTTATGGGTGAAAATGGTATGGTAACTCTGCCTGCGCTAACGGGATACGCTGGCGGAGCACCAGTGAAGGGTGATAGATGAGAATCAAAACAAGCCAGTTAGCTCATCGTGATGAATTCATTAGGAATTAACCATGATAGTTTCCAGGGGGAACCGCGAGGAGGTCTACCTGGTTGGATATATTGCTAGCAATGGGATTAAAAATCGGTTAATTCATAGTGACAAATTCAACAGGAATTTTAACTATTTTCACCTATTAAAAAAAAACATTCCAGTGTGACCGCGTGGAGGTCGACCTAACACGGTATACTGCTTAGTAACAGAGCCGCTAGTCCCCAGAAACTATCGAAACACCTACACTACTATTAGTAAACTAGAATTTATCTGTTGAATATATTTACAAACATAGGTATGCAAAACATGCAGATAAGTAGGCCAAGCGTGATATGCATTTTAAGGCAAATTTCGTGTTTTAAGCATAATCAATTTCAATGCTACATAATACAAATTCAAGCTAATTCATCCATTATAATTTAATTAATTTTAATTAAGTGGTCTGATTAATTTAATGAATACTAATTTTGTGTCTGAAATATGTTAATTTACAGAAATAATTAACAATGTAATTCCAAGAAAAAAAAACCGACTTTAATTATGGTAAAAAAAGTTAGTGTAATTTAAAACTCAACTGCTTAATCGATTTTGATAAAATTTCTATTAGATCAATCTAGAAGTATATCCTTCCAGATAAAAAAAGAATTTCCCAAATCGGTTTACAACTGACGGAGTTATGAGGTTACAAACATAACTCCTTTTTGGAGTCGAATGAAAAACAGTTGATGTCTTTTTCTATCCCAAATTTTCTTTTTATACAACGTATAATGGCAAACAAGCTGACGGCCCACCTGACGGAAAGTGGTAACCGTCGCCTATAGACATGAGCAGTACCATGGACATAACAGAATATAGTGTTTCGCCCATGATACCCCCATGTGTTGCCATTCCTGAAGACTCAGATTTTATTCCTCTGTACCCAATAAATTCACGCCATATCCCACCTTTCAAACCGAAACGCAGTCATGCAAACACAACTGCTTCACGGTTGAAACACGAATGAGACAGAGGTACCCAAGCAATCGACTTTTGTACAAAGTCTCCATCTGGTAATCCTAAAATTTAGCATACAATTATATGTAAAATTTTAGGATGATTAATCGAGAGGAAACAATTTCAATGATTTAATAATATTTTAATAAACTTATAAACTATTTCTAAAATGAAAATCTCTCCCACTTGCTGTGCCCAACAGGACCTGTACTTAGAGTTGTTTTGATATCTACCAACCACATTATGGAATGCAATAATAAATAAATAAATAAATAAATGTGTTTGCATGGCTGTGTTTCGGTTTGAAGGGTGGGTTATAGCGTGAATTTACAGGGAACATAGGAATAACACCTGAGTCCTCAGTAATGGCAACGCATGAGGGGTATCATGGGCGAAACAGTATACTCTGTTATGTGCATGGTACTGCTCATGTCTATAGGCGACGGTTACCACTTTTCATCAGGTGGGCCGTCGGCTTGTTTGTCATTCTAAATTGTATTAAAAAAAAATAAGATTAAAAAGCATTATTATTTTGTTTATTTTATTTGAAAATAAAATTAGTAAATTCAATAAAAAAACATAATAAAATTGTTTATAAATCGCGAGTAAATGCTAGAATATGCTATAAAAATGAACTATTTATTTATTTAATACGCTGTTCTTTGGATAAAATAAATATGCCGAGCTCGTATTTCGTGTTTTTTTTTTTTTTTTTTTTTATGAAATCCATAGTATTGAGCGATTAGAGTGAATAAATAAACAATTGCTACACAATTGTAGTGGACTGTATTTAGAAGAAGGACACGCGTTCACTTTTGCGAGCAAGGACTGCGCGCTGCACGAGTCGAAGACAGATTGTTTTAACTTGCCGACGTGACACCTGTATTTATTAACTAGGTACTAGTCACTTTAATTTGCAATTAATATGCCAATTTTAAATATAAATAATTATTTAAAAGAACCCTTAGTCGGCTCTTACGACACCCACGGGAAAGGAAGGGGTGGCCTATTCTACGCCGGGATCACACGGCTAAAGGGAACTTAATTATAGAGCGAAGGGCGTCAGCGTCCCTCTTAAAACATCTCTAAAATCTTAACTGCGGTTGCTAACCCGCTTGCCAAGCTAGGCAGTTACTAGCAAAACTTCTCTTTTTTTTATACAACTTAGAATGGCAAACAAGCTGACGGCCCACCTGATGGAAAGTGGTAACCGTCGCCTATAGACATGAGCAGTACCATGGATATAACAGTGTACTTTGTTTCGCCCATGATACCCCCCATGCGTTGCCATTCCTGAGGACTCAGGTATTATTCCTCTGTACCCAGTTACCTCATAGCGCCTTAACGGCTTAATGCACTATGAAATCTTACCTACACGTACTATATGGAAAGAAGTAGGATATCTGCAACCCGGGTCACTAAAAATATCCCGGTCACGCGGACAAAGTCGCGGGTAAATATATATACAATAAAAAAGAAAGCGTTTACATAATAACAAAGAAAGTGGATTAACGATGCAGCTTTTACTTAAAATTGGACATCAATTAATATCGGAATTTAATAGGTTTAATTGGTTTATTTGTTTGGAAAATGCACCGTATATACTTGTACTAAAGGTACAAATACGGCTGTCCGTTTCAATAGAATTTAATTATAATTTAATAAATAATTAAATTAATTTAAAAAATTAAATTTAATACTTAAACAAAAAAAAAAAACAAACAAATTAATAATTGACCCGAGGACTGTCTCGTGATGTTCAATAATGGTACAAATAAAAAAATAATTACTAGGATAACAGGAATTATGAGGAACAAGAGAACATCTAGGAACGCAACCCAGCACGCTCCAACACGAACCGATTCAGAAAAGTTCTTTTCCTAAATTGACCCGACCGGAGATCGAACCCGGGACGTCTTTTACACAAAACAACGTCAACCACTACGCCACGCGAGTCATTAAACAACCTAACAGCTGGCTTTTTAAAAATCATTTGAAAAAAACGCGAAAATAAAAAATTACTAACATATAGTGAAGTCATATCCGCCGATAACTGTACACTAGTAAACGTAATAACATTATAATAGAGATAAGAGAGATTAGCTGTCCATTTCTCGACCATTTTTTTTTATGGGTAAAAATGGTATGGTAACCACCCCGCCTGCGCTAACGGGATACGCTGGCGGAGCACCAGTAAAGGGTGATAGATGAGAATGAAAACAGCCCAGTTAGACAATCATGATGAATTTATCAGGTATCAACCATGATAGTTTCCAGGGAAAACCAGGTCGACCTGGTTGGGTATATTGCTAGCAATGGGATTCTCAGTCTCCATTACTAACAATCCCTTTCCCCCTTTGTCGACCATTAGATTCCCTTAGTCGCAACTTACGACACCCACAAGAAACGAAGGGATGGCCCATTCTATGCTGGGACCAGATTGCAGTTAATAAACAAGTATAAAAACTTATAAATACAAACAAACACAGATGGTTCTGAGTTTGTTTAATTAAATTATTGTTTAAATTAATTTATTATTTAAATTATTGTTTGTTTAATAATGTTTAATTAATTAGTTTATTTATATGCCTTTATAAATTCACTTATATGTAGTATAGATATTTTAGGTGAAAAATGTACATAGACGGACTAAATAATTACTTTAATAGTATGAATCTATAAATACAAACTGACAGTTGCATAAACACGTCGGACCCATGTCGGAAGTGTACAGACCTTGTGCTTAAACCTCACTTTCATAAAGTAGGTTAACGTACCAATATCAAGGTTATTGCTGAGTAAAAAAAAACCGGTACCTCGACAACTACCGGTTATGATCACATCACGTGATACGAGATCAAATAAATGAATCATTAATTAATTAATTAATAAAAAAAAAAATAAGCGCTCGATTATATGGTAAAAAAAAAAATTTTTAATGGATGATAATGGAATGGTAACCCTGCCTGCACTATCGGTATACGCTGGCGGGGTACCAGTGATAGATGACTGATGAGGATGAAAGCAGGTCAGTTAGCTCCAAATTAGAAGGATCACCGCACGTGCTTTGTTGGTATACATCGGACGGTGCACCAGTGACGGATGATAAGTGAGGATGAAGACGGATCAGTTGGTAAATCTTGCTAAACTCACCTGGAATTAAAACATTTGTTTCCAAGGGAGAAGTGAAGGTTATATTACTAGCATGGGGCAACTCGTCCCCATTACCTAATATAGTATTGTATTACTGGTACCATTACAAACAATTTCCCCCCGCCCCTCCAATCAGAAGCATGTTTAAACAGTAAAATTAGAATAGTATTGATGGCACACCTGATGGAAAGTAGTAAATGTCGCCTATAGACATGAACAGTACCATGGACATAACAGAGTATACTGTTTCGCCCATGATATCCCCCATGCGTTGCTATTCCTGAGGACTCAGATGTTATTCCTCTGTACCCTGTAAATTCACTGCCACATCCCACCCTTCAAACCGAAACACAGCCATGCAAACACAACTGCTTCGGGGGGAAAGGGATTGTTAGTAACGGAGTCTAAAAATTCCATTGCTAACAATATACCCAACCAGGTCGACCTCCTCGCGGTTCCCCCTGGAAACTATCATGGTTAATTCCTAATGAATTAATCATGATGGGCTAACTGGCCTGTTTTCATTCTCATCTATCACCCTTCACTGGTGCTCCGCCAGCGTATCCCGTTAGCGCAGGCGGGGTTACCATACCATTTTCACGCATCAAAAAAAAAACACAACTGCTTCACTGTAGAAACACAAATGGGACAGAGGTGCCCAAGCAATCGACTTTTGTACAAAGTCTCCCTCTGGTGATGTGTTAGACATATTATTATTTTTATATATTAAGACAAATATATAAGTATAATATAATAGTTTCTGTCGCTATCCCTTCACTCAAACAACCATGAACTGAAACGTGATTCACCTTATGTTTATTAAAATACAATTATAGATTGTCCACGTCAACATGGCACGCCCCTCCATCTTTTCACTTCAACTACAGTGTTTCTTTCTTATAAAATAACCATTGGAAACGAAGATGTTTACGTAATACTAAAAACCTCGCAGTATAATATACCGTGACTCCTTTGAACTTATTTGTTATTTGAAATAAAAAACTTCTTTAAAAACCACTTATTTACCTTACTACTAGAAAGGTCACCACAAAATCCGTCCAAGTGTCACCTAACATCACGACAACTGTAATGATTACCTAATATTACAGCATTGATTAAAACAAGCTCTATTTCGTGGTTTCACGTGTCGTTATTATCAGTATACACGTTCAATTGTCGGAATATTCTCGTAGCATGCTGTAAGCCGTGTGGTCCCGGCATAGAATGGGCCATCCCTTCCTTTCCCGAGGATGTCGTAAGAGGCGACTAACGGAGCTTAATAGTTAAGAGATAGACAGAAGCGCCCCTCTTAAAGTATCTCTAAAAGCCTAACTGCGGTTACCAACCCGCCTGCCAAGCGTGGCAACTACTGGCAAAACTCCCCTTATGGGGGGGAAAGGGATTGTTAGTAATGGAGACTGAGAATCCTATTGCTAGCAATATACCCAACCAGTTCGACCTCCTCGCGGTTCCCCCTGGAAACTATCATGGTTAATTCCTGATGAATTCATCATGATGGGCTAACTGGCCTGTTTTCGTTCTTATCTATCACCCTTCACTGGTGCTCCGCCAGCATATTCCGTTAGCGCAGGCGGGATTACCATACCATTTTCATCCGTCAAAGAAAAAAAAACCCTGAAATGAAAAAAAAAAGATGCTGTGATCACTTCTAATTGAGGATCAGAAGTGATCACGCATCCTGGTTATGAATACGTGTAGGTAGGTACATTTAATCACGTAGCTTCGCGTACTGGCTGCCCCGACGTCGTTTCGTCAATATTTGATTGAATCGTTTGAATTGACAACTAGCAACGGTTTATATGCTAAAAATTAAAATGGAGTTATTTACATTTCTCTGGGGTACTATTTTTCAAATTTTCTCTTCATTAGAATCTTCGTAAAATAATAAAAAAAAAAATTAAAAAGCATCCAAAAGCATTAATAATGTATGTTTTTTTTATGGATTATAATAGAATGGTAACCCCGCCTCCGCTATCGGTATACACCGGCGGGGCACCAGTGAGGGATGCTATAATATGGATATGGATGGTAAAATCTTAAATCTAGATTTACCCAATAAAGATATTCTTTCTTTCCTTCTTTCAAATAAACTATTGATTAACTACGTGCAATCTCATTCATCATCGCAGCTCTCATTCGTGAAATCTAATTACAGTGTAATTCTTGTTGGAAACTCAAATAAATATTTATACCATATAGATGTATACCAATAAACAAACTTATTCACTCACTTTCCTAACATATACACCCGATCGATAACCTTTGCGTGTAGACAATAATCAAAACAAATTGACACATAACATTATCGCGGCCGGCGCTGTACATACACACTGGTACTGTAACATTCTTATTAGAAAAATAATCCTTCTAGAGAAACCATGTCCGCTGTAAACGGTAAAGACAACTCGGAGCCAGTCATTCCGCCGTCGGCACTCATAAGAAGAGTCAGCTCTCGCTCTGTAAGGAACTCGATATCGGAGGAAAAGGAGAACGGAGTGGAGAGTAGTACGAACAAATCATTCGTGGCCAAGTACAAAAAAACACCGGAGGCATTGAAAAATTTCCATTTGAACGATGAAAGTGAGTTGGAAGTGCCAGGGACGCCGATGACGCCGAGGACCTCAACCACACCTGGTTTGTATAAGTGTGACATTATTACTACCCACTGCTGGGAACGGGTTCAAATCACCAGAGAAACTTCGGTTACCAGAGGGAGACTTTGTACAAAAGTCGTTCGCATGGACACCTCTGTTCCGTTCGTGTTTCTATCGTGAAACAGTTGTGTTTGCATGGCTGTGTTTCGATTTGAAAGGTATGGATATGGCAGTGAGTTTACTGGGTACAGAGGAATAACCTAAGTCCTCAGGAATGGTAACGCATGAGGGGTATCATGGGCGAAACAGTATACTCTGTTATGTCCATGGTACTGCTCATGTCTATAGGCGACGGTTACCACTTTTCATCAGGTGAGCCCTCAGCTTGTTTGCCATTCTAAGTTGTATAAAAAAAGTCAAGTCAATAAATTATTTTATTTGTAGAAACATAGGTTATATAAATTACAACATATTATATATAAAAATAATTAAGATGGCTATGTTCCGCCATTATTGGACATATAAATAATATAAAATCCTTCATCAAAATTATAAAATACAATACTGATCATCAATTTAAGAAATATAAATCTAATTATTATGTATTGTTAAAATTAGGCATTACAACAATCAATGTCACAGTCAAGAAAAGTGATAATTTAAATAACAAACACACTACAGTTGATAAAAAATACGATTAAAATCCATTTCATGTCAAGCAATAGAAAACTATAACAATTGTATTATAAACATCAAAACATAAGGAATAACAATAATAGTAGAAATTATCAGTATTGTAGAAAATTCACATTATTTTTTTAATTCTTTATTGAAGCTACTATCTTCACATAAAGCAGCATTCACACAGCTCTGCCTTCTAATTACGTATCTTCAAATCAGTTTGCCATAGCAATAATTGCTATCAATTTTCATTTCATGTTTCCTATTATCTAAAAGCAACAATCGAGCGAATAACAATAGACGCCATTGCTTTTACAGAGCGATTTAGAAACTAAAATTATTTACTATTATTTATTGAATGAATAACCCTTCTTTGCATGATTTTTTATTGGTGAAATAAACCAAGGTGATATAATTCATGTTCAAAATTAGAGGAAAAATGGTTAAAAAAATAAATTTGGCAGTTATGTTTTGTTTTTCTGCAATGGATATTAAAAAGGTATCCAGACACAAACAATTTAAAGTTCTTTTGTATAATTTTTGGGCATTCAATGTTATGATGGAAATTTCCACCATTATACAAAGAAGGGATAAGTATACTTCATTTGCATTATACAATATAGGAAATAAGCAAGACAATTAATAAATATAACGATACAGTTGTATAAGTACAGGAAGGCGATTTTATTGCTGAGAGCAATCTTTTCAAGACAACCTTAGGGTAATTTTTACTTTATTGTTACTTGATTGCTAGTCTTCCAGTATTTATTGTTACTTTGTCAAAGAAAAATGCATCTAGTATGTGAGCTAGATGCACTTTCCTTGAGATATTGCAAATCAGTAACCCTATATGTATGTAGATGTCTGAGATTCCAGGCTCCAACAGTTCTCAATAAAAACAGGGAGAAATGATGAACAGGGGCACATTTATACATGAACTTTTTCATATGAGAATCATCTGGCCGCTATAGTAGGCATGTCGGTTTGTTCGCGGGTACGATTTCCAATCGTAGCAAGTTAGAAAATTCTGGGTTGTACACCAGATGTTCATTGTCTGGTTTTCGTAACAGGTTACCTTAACATCAGAATAAAATAATTATTTTTATTGTTTAAAATAATATTTTTTTATGCAACTTAGAATGGCAAACAGGCTGACGATCCACCTGATGGTAAATGGTAACCATCACCTGTAGACATGAGCAGTACCATGGACATAACAGAGTATACTGTTTCGCCCATGATACCCCTCATGCGTTGCCATTCCTGAGGACTCAGGTGTTATTCCTCTGTACCCTTTAAATTCCCTGCCCATATCCCATACTTCAAATCGAAACTCAGCCATGTAAACACAACTGGTTCACGGTAGAAACACGAATGGTACAGAGGTACCCAAGCAAAAGACTTTTGTATAAAGTCTCCCACTGGTAAAAAATATATATACGTATAAATAAATATATAAAATTTGATAAACGGATTAGTAATCCTAACATAACATATATTTTATATTGTAATCACGTCACGACAAAGTTAGTACACACACACGTATAAAATGCAGACGCGTTCAGAACTACTTCCTCTCTGTAATCCATTGAAAATTATTGTAACCGTTACCTATTCTATTGAATCAAGAACAACCTCAATAACGAATGTTACTATCAATTAACTACTTCATTATCAACCACCTATTACGAGAACAATCTTAGACGAAGTATTTAACCTCAGACATTTCTAAGAAAACCATTAACAAATCGCTAGGTCTGTCATTTTAAATAACTCAAATTATAACCACCTCGACTTCTTTCGATTGTAATCTTTGTTTTATTAACAATATAAATAAAATTAAGTATAACTACTTAAATTGTGATAAAATTAATATCAGGCTATTATTACCACAGTAATATGAGAATAAAGCCTATCGATTCCAAAAAAAAACTTGTATCTTTGTTTGTTTGTTACTTAATATTTAATTCTAATTCAAATTGGTAGCAGAGCATTGTATAATACAAATATTTTTTTATATAATATATCATCATCGTCATCATCATTTCAGCCATTATCCGTCCACTGCTGGACACAAGCCTCCCCCATAGACTGCCATAAAGAACAGTCCTGAGCCACCTGCATCCACTGACTGCCTGCAACGCATTTCAGGTCGTCACTCCATCTAGTGTCCATCCACTATATCTAATGTAATATATAATTTAACCTAATTTATCTTGTTTCTAAATACATAAACTATGATAAATATACTTATCTAATATTTGATATTAATAGATAATAAAATTTAATACATATTTTAATATAAATTGGTAATTAATACTCCTTTCCACCCAGAGTTTGCTGAAAGAGAACTCTTACAGAGTTAAGCTCGCCTGTTGTACATCTTTATTAAAAACTAGCCGCCCGTCTCGAGTCGCACGGGTGGACATTTTTACATTTTAAAAAGTGGCCACGCGACGGTAGCTTAAAAATGGAGTAACTTGTCCCATTTTCCTAACATTTCCCTTCACTGCTCTGCTCCTATTGATCGTAGCGTGATGAAAAGTACACTATAATCTGCCCAGGAGTATGAAGAATAATTGTACCAAGTTTCGTTAAAATCCGTCGAGTAGTTTTTGTTTCTATAACGAGCATACAGACAGACAGACAAAAATTTTACTGATTGCATTTTTGGCATCAGTATCGATCACTAATCACCGCCTGATAATTATTTTGGAAATATATTTCATGTACAGAATTTACCGCTCTACAGATTTATTATAAGTATACATAGATAAATTATGACAATGTATTTTTTATGTACAATAAAGTATAAATAAATAAGTTTTTGCTGTGAGATAAATATTTTTAAATTGCTGTAACTAATTTAGTTTGGTTAGAACCCATGATCTCTGAATAAATACGAGACATATCCATTCACGTTATGTTATGATGATTACAGTCATTGTTCTCCTTGATTTAAATATCGCAGTATCACATTTATGTGAGGAAAACCACAATTATTAAGTAATAAATGTAAATAAAAATACTTCGTGAGATGTGTGTACATGTATTTACCTTTATTTGACAAAATAAAAAAGAAAACAGGGCAGATGTATGTAAAAATTAAATCCGTATGATGAGATCTCAAATGACGATATTCCTTCATCTATTACCAACTGCATGGTTCTGCTATCCTAGTATATTGTACCAAATACACCAAGCGGGGAGAAAAGATTGTTAGTAATGGGGGTCAATGGCCCCATTCCTAGCAATATCCTGTCTGATCGACCCCCTCGCGATCGCCCCTAGAAACCGTCGTCATTAATAGCTGGTGAAATAATCACGTTGAGCCATCTGACTTGACTTTGACCTTACTTCTCATTTCTCACAGCTGGTTGTATTATAAAAATTTGGTCCATGTGTCTGTAACAAAAAGATCTTTTATACCATCTTGTTTACACCAAAAATAAAAAATCTAAATTTACAATTTACTGTTTGTTACACAGGTCATGAGAACTGCACATTCCACCACGACCTGGAGCTGGACCACCGGCCTCCCACCAGAGAAGCGCTCCTGCCCGACATGGCTAACTCCTATAGACTGCTACTCACAGGTAACTTCTGCTACCCTAGTACTTATAAACAAGCGACTGCTACAAGCCTCATGTGAGGGTGTCACTCTTCACTCTTGTGTCGAGAGTTTCTAAGTTTCCATCGTTACACAAACACCTCTGACGTATTTAAAACAATATAAAAAAATTTTAATCTCTAAGTTTTTTTACACAATTTCGAATAGAAAACAAGCTTATGAAGCACTCGATAAAGTTTATAAGTATTAAATGTCGCCTACAGACTTCAAAAGCACCAAACAATACAATGTGAGGACCAGTGTACCCCTTATACATTTACTTATGTCAAAATATTCCGTACTTTGTAATTTAATTTCACTATCATATCCCAACTATAATACCGAGGCATAGCCAGGCAATAAACAATTGCTTGGCGTCAGGACCGTATGGTCCCGCCATAGTATGGGCCACACCTTTCTTTTCCGTGGTTGTCGTTAGGACTAAGGGAGGGCAAGGGATGTGCAGTAGCTAAATAAAGTAACTGCAGTTGCCAATTCGCCTGCCAAATATGGCAACTACTGGCAAAAATCCCCCCAGGGGAAGATTATGTTCAGCAGTGAACAGTTAAAGGCTGATATGATGATGGTGATGGAATCAGAAACACGCATGTATTAGCAGCATGGAAACGACTTTTGTACAAACTCTTCCAGTGAACATACATACTATTTATAATAATTGATGTATTTACAGGTCTGGGTGAAGATCCTGAAAGACAGGGCCTGCTGAAGACTCCGGAACGCGCCGCCAAAGCTATGTTGTTCTTCACTAAAGGATATGACCAAAGCCTCGAAGGTATAATAAATACCTGCATCAAATGCTTACTTCATCTTCTTCCTTTCTTTCTTGTTTTCTGTTTACTAAGTACCAACTACCAACAATACTTATTTGTAATAAAACTGCATAATTTCGATGCCCTAGCGGTTTGACATAATTCAATAATGGTACAAGAATTGTTTCGATTTAATCGAAATAATTACTAAAAACAATGTTAGATATAAGTTAATTTAATTCAATAAATTTCATTTTTACATTTTCTTTTTTTTTTATGCCATCTATTGTCAATTGTCGACAGTAGATTTTTTTTCATTGGTGAAAATGGTATGGTAACCCCGCCTGTGCTAACGGGATACGCTGGCAGAGCACCAGTGAGGGGTGATAGATGAGAATGAAAACAAGCCAAATTAGCCCATCATGATGAATTCATTAGGAATTAACCATTATAGTTTCCAGGGGGATCCGCGAGGAGGACGACCTGGTTGGGTATATTGCTAGCAATAGGATTCTCAGTCTCCATTACTAACAATCCCTTTCCCCCGTCGACAATAGATTGTTTAGAAAAAATAACTCGTTCGGCAGGAAATTTAAATCTTTTTAATTTTAATTTGTCATACACGATTACCCATAGGTTTTGCTAATGCTTTTTCTACTGTATGTCTTATTTATTACAGAGGTCCTTAACAACGCAATCTTCGACGAGGACACCGACGAGATGGTGGTGGTGAAAGATATCGAGATGTTCTCGATGTGCGAACATCACTTGGTGCCCTTCTATGGAAAGGTCTCCATCGGCTACTTACCGCAAGGCAAGATCTTAGGGCTCAGCAAGTTGGCCAGGTGGGTGCAACTTTAACAATCTTCTAAATAGATTCTCAGTTCGTCTGATTTTTTTCTATGTCTACTTTCATCAATTGTCATTGCAATCGATAGGATTTTTCCCCATATTAGTCCCATTTTAATTTTGTAATGATGGAATCTACCGCTTTTCTTTGCGGAGCAAAAACTGCTTGTTACAAATCAAGATTTACATTTAATCACGCGATTTTAATAAATAGCTCTTCGTTTCTTCGTATTATTATGATTTTAAATTTGTAATTACTAACCGCATATTCATTAGTGTTCTCAATCACAATGAATAATTTTATTTTCTAAAGATTTTTTTGCACCTTATTTTTTTTTACGCCATCTATTGGCAATTAGTATAATTATGATTTTCACATTTTTATAATATTATTATATTTCATTATTGCAGGATCGTTGAGATATTCTCCCGCCGCCTCCAAGTTCAAGAACGTCTCACAAAGCAGATTGCAATTGCTGTGACGCAAGCAGTGCGACCGGCAGGGGTCGCGGTAGTTATAGAGGGAGTGTAAGTATTTATCTCACCTTTCTAAAAAGATAAAGTGCCTAGTGTAAATTGTATCTACAAAGCCTTATGTTAGGATCGCGTTCACGTTTATACAATAAGTTTGTATGGAAATGTAGGTTTCAGTTACCATCCGTTAGAGGCGCCACTGAGTTTTCAATACAAAATTATTGAAGTAAAATTAACCTAATTGCAATAATTCTTTATATAACTTACACTAAGCACTTTTTGCATAATTGACGAATAAAAGAAGCATGAAACGTCTTTTTTAATCGAAATTGTTTGAATTTTGTTTTTTCTGAGTAAAAATCATTTAATATAAATCGTCCGCGAGTTATTAACAAACTCGAGTTCCCAAACAGATGTTATGAAAAAGTATTCACCTTAACACATAGATGGCGTTATTAAATAGTTGATATTAATGTCCCTAGATGACGCTACTTATAGCACCACAATTTTAATCGATAATATCAATTTCAAGTAATTTATGACAGTAAAATTACCCTTTGTACCTTTGTGGCAACGCATTAGACTTTTTCTGCGATATTCATTTTTGCAGGCGATGGTTACCATTTTCTATCAACTTGCCATTTTCAATTGCATAAAAAAAAACTAATTCTATGTATTTTTACTTCAAAAGGCACATGTGCATGGTTATGCGGGGAGTTCAAAAGATCAACAGTAAGACGGTGACGTCCACGATGCTGGGAGTGTTCCGGGACGACCCCAAGACCCGAGAAGAGTTTCTCAATCTCGTACACTCCAAGTGAGGCCGTGACTTGATTCCTATAAGACGTCCGTAATGTTTCTTTTAGTTGCTTGTAATATTTTATTTTTATTGTTTCTTTTTCCATCATTTAAGTGCATGACATTTAACGTATTTATCAAAATTAATTATGTATAAATACATATTAAGAATTTAACAAAAATACTAAAATTAATTTATTTTAAAGTTTAAAATATCTACTTAAAATAAAACATTAGTACAAAAAAAACCAACCACAGTAAATTTTTATCCGACTTCAAAAATAAAGAGAATCTGAACGCGACTGTATTTTTTATATTTTACACGATATATTAACCGCTTTTGATTATTCTTTTTCAATCGATGACGTCCACTCCTGTCTTTGTTTTACTTCTATTAATTTTGTCACAATTGATGTCACTGTTTCCTTGCGAGATAAAATGCTAAATTACAGTTTTTGTAATGTATTTTTTATTTTTCCTTAATAACTGTAAAAACATTTAAAAATTTTATCCAACTATAGCAAAAACGTAAGCAAAGACGAATTTTGTGTTTATACAAATAAATGCAATATAATAATATCAAAAAGGAAAAAATTAAATAAAAATTTGTTTAGAAATAAAAAAAATATACAAGGTTCTAATAATTTCTTTAAAATTGAAATTAGTCAAAAATATTGCTTAATTCCTTATGTTCTTTGCTTTTCTTTTATTATTATTTGAAAGTAATTCCCGTTATACCATTAAAGTTCACGTCTTAAGGTCATTCCTTTTATATAAATTGTATTTTTTTATTACATCGCTTTTATATCAGAACATTTCTTGTTTGATCTCGAAAAAAGTTATTTTCCACTTAAAAATATATACGTAAATAATACATACTTTTTTTTTTTTAATTAATTTATACTTAATAATATAGTACATTCTGTTAAAATTAATTTAAGTGCAGCTTTAAATATTTTATTTGATATAAATGGCATATTCACATTTTTCCTTTTAATTTAAATAAAAAAATAATTTGCTTAAATTGTAAATGTTATGCAAAAATAGTGCCAATCCTTATAAATATCAGATATTTAATGTTAACACAATTATAGTTTTGTACACATAATATTTTTTTTTATATTATTATTAATATTATTAAAATATTTAATTTTAAGCTCAAATAGTAACGTTCAGTATTTGAAAAAAAAATTACTGCCTTAGTTATTAAGAAATCATTTCTTGCCAATCAATATGCTGTCTAATTCGTTGTATAAGCTTTTTTTTTTTTCTTAAATAACTTTTTTTTCTAGTTTCCTTTATCTTTCCAAATTTACACTTAAGAATTTGTTAAAAAAAAATGACAATAAATTTATATAAAAAAGCGGGGAATTTTGGTAAGAATTTTATTGCCCAAAATTACCATTATTCCCACAATACTAACCATATTTATTAAAATGTTCAGTACAAAAAAAAAATATACACTTATTTTAAAGAGAAAAATAATAATATACAACGATTTTATTTCGTAGATCAATTGTTTTATTTGTGTTCCAAGTAAAAATCTCAAGTGATTATGGCTGATACTTGACATTTTTGCTAAAATATTTATATTGTATTTAAAATTGAATAGATTTTATAGTTATTTTTTATTAATTATAAGAAATATAACCGTGTTGCCTTAAATACAATGTGAATGTACGAATTTGGACGATGATTTGTCATTGATGTTACTACAAGTTCATGAGAGTTCATATGTTTTATAAATAAACGTTTTTTATTTTAAGTTTACATCGTTTTTTATTTCATATCTCACTTTGTTTTATTTTTAAACATGTAACAAAGCTTTGTATTATCATTTATACAATATATATCTATATATATATTATTCTATAAACACGTACAGATTTCTTGATGGATGATAATGGAATGGTAGCCCCTCCTGCGCTATCTGTAAATGCTGGTGAGGCACCAGTGAGGGATGGTAGGTGAGAATGAAAAGGAAGACAGAAAGAAAGAGAAACATTTATTTGGCGCATATCAACAACAATTACAATTATAAACTTAAAGATAAAGGAAATACAAAAATAAAATTATACCTAATTAGAAATTATGTGACCAAAAAGACAGGTCAATTAATCAATTCTAATGAATACACCTGAAATTTAGCACAATGATTTCCAGGGGAGATCGCGTGGAGGTCAACCTGACAGGGTATATTGTTAGCAATGGGGCTACTAACAATCTCTTCTCCCCAGCACGTATATTTTTGGAACTTCTAAAATATATTATCAGTAAATCATTCTTTAGAGAGACGTCTGAGAATTGAAGTACAATTGCAGTGAAATTATAAAGTACAGAGGCATACGAACCCACCAGACTATCTGAGATCGTCTTCTTAGTCGACATTTCGAAGCCAAAACCAATGACCACTGAAGAAATTTATTCAATCAAATGTTCTAAAAACTTGTCCAAAAACTTTTATGAGCTAAATTAACTATTATTGTTATATAATCTTTTCTCTATGTGATTTAATTTTTATTTTTGCTGAGTTTTTCTACTGTAATATTTTGAAGAGAACAATAAAGAACTTGGCCCTTACTCCTTTCTTCCACGCAGACAAACTATTATGCAGTTTTCCTGGTATGCGCTATCAAAATTATAAATAGGTTGAAAAAACAAATTTTAAACAACGATTTATCATCTCAAACATCAAGTACCCTGCATCTACCACTTTGCTTCTTACAGACAACAATAGTTGGAATAAATTGTAAACAATAGTGTACTATTTACTCCACGGTTGTTCTGACTTACCATCTTTTAAGTGGCTCGAGAGAGTAAAAGTACTTAAAAGCAAAATATAAACAAGTTTTGATGTTCACAAAACATGAACCTTTAGTAAAATATTTTACATCATATTGTTTCATAGTTTATTAATGAGAATGAAAATTTTCAAGATAAAGTCTTGAGAATAAAAATTCATAAGACTTTATGTTGAGAATTTTTAACAATTCGCCTGTTTACGTTTCAGATATCAAAGTGAATATCTTAGAAATCTTTACGGCGTCACTGCTGCTAACTATGCCGTCCGCCGCTCCAATCTCTGAAGTCAACAATGTTACTGTAGCAAAAGATCTTTGTCTAATAAGCAAGCAAGCACAACAATATCCAAATAATAAAACTACTCAATGAGCTGAACTTTCGAAACTATACTGAGTTCAAGAATTAATTGTTATAAATATTGTTAAATTGAAAGCAGATGATAAAAGAAGTGAAGATTTACAAGTATATTTTAATGAAAGGATATTTAAGTAGTAACAAGAAGCGTAAGACTAAATAAACAATATGGATCGAGAGAAAGAATATAGAAGCAATTAGTTTTAAATGCAAGTACAAAGTACGAGATGGAACGCGATCTAAAGAAAATGTTAGAAAGCCCATACAATGGTCTTAGTACGTTTACACTAAACAGCAGTAGGAGAAGAATGAAAATTCACCATAATCTACTTTAAAACAATAATGGAGAAGTAATAACAGTTGATAACAATAAAAAAATACTTTCATTCATTGCTATAGATGGTCATAATATTGATAAATCTAAAAGTACCAAAGTAAAGAATATGAAACCATTACTGACAAAACCATTGATATTGCAAAATAATAACAGTTATTCATTGTATATATTTATTGATAATCATGAAACACATAATACAGAAGAAGGTGCTAATAAAATAAAAATTAACGGATTAAAAAATGCTAAACAAAATGTAGTAAATTATTCTAATAATATTATTAATTTATAAATGATCACTAACGAAGTTATTATTATTATTATATTAAAGTAATATATAAACAGAGATTAAGTTATACTTAAACAATATAATCTATCTATTGTATACACACCTTACATCTATGTACTAAAAATATCAAAAACTAGACCTTAAAAATTATTTAGAGATAAAAAATTTCAAGTTTAATTTTCTAACGAAGTTATTAAGAATATCCAAAATTGTAAGAAATTCTTAGAAAATATGTAAGAAAAGGAGGAGAATAAGAAAATAAAGAAATGAATAGTTGAGTAAACTAAAAGCAAATTATGGTGTTATAGAAAGAAAATTATAAAGAGGAACACATCGATTGGTATACAAAATATTATAAATACAAAAGACTTGCATAAAATGAAATGATTTCTATCCGTAATATTACTGAAATAAAGTTCATTTTAGAAAATAACGTACCTTTTGTCAATGGACAACAAGATGTTATATATTTTTATACGAAAACCGAACAGGTAAATTCTGAATTGAAACTTCAAGCAAAACTACTAATATCAGAGTCAAATATCCGCGTGGTACATAGTAATTGACTTATTAAATATTGAATAAAATATATTCTGTTTAGTAATATCGTTTTATTAAAATCTATTTATGTTTTACAACACAGAGCTCTGAGAAATTGTTCGGATCGATACCCGCTACTGATTTTCAGCGTCGTACAACCGCCACAAACTAAAGTTTCATCCCAACCATCTGGATAACTGGTGGTCTTCAACCGTGCGTTTTTCAGGGGACTTTCTTCCACGTGCAACCATTCTTTGGAATCAACTTCCAAGAGCAGTATTTCCGAACCGATACGATATCATAACCTTTAAAAAAAAGAGCATATTCCTTTTTAAAAGGCCGGCAGAACACCTGCAATGCCTTTAGTGCGATGCAATGCGAGTGATCATGGGCGGCGATAGTCACTTAGCATCAGGTGAGCAGTATGCTCTTTTGCCCCCTGTATTATAAAAAAATATATTTATGTATGAATTCCACTGATTGATAAGTGTGATTTAAACGGTTTCCACTTGATAATATAAACAATGTTACCAATTGATATCATCACCTACTATTTTATAATTATATTTACTCTAAAAAGCTAATTCCCCTTATCTCGCAGCTACACGTGACGATATTTATTTGAGAATGACCCCCGATTGCAACTAGTCCGTGTCAGATCACTGTACTGGTAAGTCAAATTTTCCATAAAGAAACACTACTCTGTATAAACAGAGTCCAATATTTTAAATATTAGCATCCACTTTCATAATTCGTCTCTTAAAAACACGCCGTTTCCGAATTCTCGTAACTTTTTCCAAGTAGTAGTTACAATCTTTCAGTTCCACAGAAAAGAGAACATTTAAAATTTATTTTGAAGAAGGTTGATGGTAATTAAAAGATTTGTTTTTTTTTTAATGGATAATAATGGAATGGTAACCCCGCCGGCGCTGTCAGTACACACTAGCATGACACTAGTGAGGGATGATAGGTGAGGATGAAAAGACAGGTCAGTTAGCCCATCGTAATATCGTAATGAATACACCTGGAATTCAGCACGACGGTTTCCAGAGTGGACCAGGTGGAGGTCGACCTAACAGAGTATATTGCTAACAATGTGACTGGTAGTCTGCGTTACTAATAACCCCCAAATATATATTTGTTAAAACATTTTATCAATAACTTCAAAAATGATTGTGTTATATTTTAACTAGCTTTTACTTCCAACTTCGTCCACATGACCGGGATATTTTGTTCGTTAACGTGTCAAGACATAACAAACTAAACTCTGTCTCACATTTACATTACTAAGTAAGGATTATTGATGTCGAAGAGCGATCGACATAAATATATGCCAAGCAATCAAAACAAACAATACTGTTCTCGAAAAATTAAGAGAAGACTTCTAGAATTGATATATAGTTATTAATAAATTGTAGACTTGTTAGAGGCCCTGAATTACTTGTATAACCCTCCGTCAACTCCGTCAAATGTGTTTTTTTTTGCACACTGTCAACCGTCACGGACGATATCGTCCTAGACGATAATTTTACCTACTTAAGGGTAGAGAAAAATTCCAAAAAAATTCGGGGAATATGTCCTAGATTTCTTTTTACTGTTCCCATAGTTTTTGACTTAAATACTTTACCCGCTAGTGAAATAAAATTTTGTAAACTCTTCAAAAACCGCAATTTCTAAGATTTCACTAAATAATCGATATCTTGGATATAAATTAGTTTTAAGAAGAAATGTTTTGGAGATTTATTCTTCATATAAGCGCTTTTCAAAACCTTGCCTGTGAGGTACGCGCGTGTGTAAGTTATTTTACAGAGGGTTTTTTTTTTCTTTTTAATGGGTGATAATGGTATGGTAACCCCGTCTGCGCTATCGGTATACGCTGGTAGGGTACTAGTGAGGAATAATTGAGAAAGATGTAAGCAGGTCAGTTAGCCCATCGTGGCGAATTCCACTAGAATTAACCACGATGATTTCACGATGATGATGAGAACCGCGTGGAGGCCGACCTGATAGGGTGTATTGCTAGCAATGGGTTCATTAGACCCTATTACTAACAATCCTTTTCCCCTTTAGAGAGGGGTTCGAGACCCCGTCCTTTTTTTCTTACAAAAATAAGTATCAGGATTGGCGGAGGGTTAATAAATAATGTTAATATTTTTCAAAATAGTGCAATTTTGTCTCGTATTATTTAACTGATGACTGAAATCAAAAGTTCTCTTAGTAAATAATAAATTAAAAACCAAACGATTTATAAAAAATTTTTACTACAAAAATATTTTCATGAATAATAAATTTTAATAAAGATTGTGACTCACAAAAAACTAACTTCATTTGTGACAATGCCAGTGATTTTGGTCTAAAAACTGAACTACTAGACCGATTTTGATAAGGTTTCTATGAGACCAACCTGTAAGTATGTCCTAAAAATGTACGTATATGTGTATAAAAAAAGAA